TACCAAATTCCCAAAGTACTCGATGAGATCAAATGAAATATTCAATTGGCAAACTCAAAATTCCAACAAAAAATAAATAAGGAAGCCTGTTAGCATCTGGGTAACAAGTACTAATAGAAAATTCCCTTCTGACTTTGCTATGTTTGCAGACATGCATACATAAACACGAACTGCAGTATTATAAGAGCTGACATGGAAGCACACACAAGGCCCTGGAGGTGCACAGGAGCCACCTGCTACCACATCAGGTGTGGATGAGCAAGCAGGATGTCAGAGTCACTCATGGAAGAAGAGTGCAGAGCTGGCCAGGGAAGGAGGAGCAGATGACAAGACTGAGAGGGTGTATGCACACCAGAGCACTTGGAGGGAAGTAGGGAGCAGGAGGGGAAGTAGAGAAGAGGATCCTGAGAGGGATGTGGGCATGTGGATGAGGCTTTGCTTTCTGCCACTGGAAGGTTTTTAAGCAGAGAAGCCAGATAATCACATGCACTTTGAGAAAGTCCATTATGGAGAAACTAGGCTGGAATGACCAAAGCCAGAGGCAGGGGCAACAGGTGAGAAGTGAGCAGAGCCAAAAACAGAGCTCTTCCTCTGGGAGCCATGTTCTCTGAAGGATTTATGGAAGTCCTGAGATTATTTGTCCAAGCATGGGGATGAGCATGTCTCTGAGGGAAAGCCTAATGAAGCCCTTAAAAAGAGGACAATAACACCTTAAAACTCAAAAACAGCCACTGTGATGGAATAAAGAAACAGAGACAGATTTAGGAGTTGACATTGAAGTTCTAAGTGAAAAGAATAGGATTATTTTAAAATATTGATTGATTTATTGGAAGGTCAGAATTACAGAGAGATAGAGATAGAGATATAGAAAGGGAGGGAGAGAGAGAGAGAGAGAGAGAATCTTTCATCTGCTGGTTCACTCTCTACATGGCCTGAAGAGTCAGGGCTAGCCCAGGCTGAAGCCATGAGCCAGGAGCTTCATCTAGGTCTCCTGCGTGGGTGCAGAAGTCCAAGCACTTGGGCCACCTTCTGATACTTCTCCCAGGTGTATGATGAGGGAACTGGATGGGAAGTAGAGCAGCCAAGACTCGAACCGGCACCCATATGGGATGGCATTGTCTCAGGTGGCATTTTTTTCACCTGCTATCCCACAATACTGGCCCCCAAAAGAATAGGATTTCATAGGCAGCAATTTCTGTTTAATTTTTTTACAACCAAAAAAAGCGAAAGTCTTATCAATGGGCAGAGTATTTTTGACTCATGTTTCACAAACACAAAATTCAGGAATCCACATGTGTTCAGGGACCTTGACACAGATTTCTGGTATGATGATCAATATTCCATCTTCCTCACCCTACATGTACTCTCTTACTTGTTGAATCAGGTATCCCAAAGTTTAGCTTGAAAACTAGATTCCTTGTAAATTCAAGTTTCTAAGAGAGATTGTTGAAGAAGACTTTCAATAGAATTTGGAGAAAAGGGAAGTATTGAGGGGCATCAAATCTCAAAATTCTAATCACAAAAAGTTGGGCAGAAAATGAAGCAACAGCAGCAGCAAGGTAAATAAGGAAAGACGATCTAGAACCTCTGACACGTTGTCGAGCACTGTAAACCTTCCCCAAACATGACTTCTACAGGTATCTTCCTTCAGAAGTGTGCACACAATTTCAAGAAGTTCACAGAACCCTTGCAATCCAAGAGCTTCAATCTCACACTGGAAGCCAGTGTAGGATTCCTTAGTCTTGATAAGTCTGCTTTCTCACAACTTAAACTCTATTCTCATATAAATTACCCCCATTGACGTTTACATTGGTCCCATTTGCTCTCAATTAATTTCTTATGTGATAAAACTACCAAGTCTAAAAGGAAACTGATCCCAATTCCCATTTTGTTGACCTGTCACCCTAATGGCATACCAATCCCAAATATGCTACCAATCCTACACTGTGTTATGCTTTCATGTGCAAAGAATGCTTTCCAATCTCAGTGTTAGCATCTGATCTTAGAGCCACGTAATCAGAACCCTTGTCCACGGTGTGGATCTATAGGTGTCATCAAAGATCCCTCCTACTGAAACAAGCAGTTCCTTGTTCTGGAAATTATACTAATAGATTCTAAAAAGTAAGTCCAAACCCAGCAGCGGTCTTGCCTTCTTAATAGATTAGGGGAAAGAATAATTTGAAGGGAAAAATTACAGCAAATTCCATACTGCTCTTTCTTTCTCCCACATTGCAGTGACGGCAAACCTTTGATTATCCCTCTGAAAAAGACCACACATTCAATAATTTGAAGCAAAAGGTTAATGGTGTTGTTACAACGATTATCCCTCTTAAAATCATTATCCTCATGTTTTTCATGGCGATATTACCTTCACCTCTCCCTGAACCCACTTCACCAGCTGTTCCCCTCATCGTCAAGTTTGCTGCACATCGTCATAGGAAGAAGATGAATGCCGTGTTTTATCAATCAAGCCTAAGGGAATTTGATGTTTCTCATAACTACAACTGTAAAGGGAGTTTATTACAGGTTTCTGTTTTGATTTGTGAATTGTCCTTAAGTAAAATACACACCTGATGCCAGTGTGTAGAATGTTAAAATGAAAGACATTGTACAACAGAAATATGCATCATAAAATTTGATAGGTTGGTGGATGAGAAAGCTTAAGACTACTGAGGAATGCATGCAGGCTTGTCTTCTTCGTGAGCCTGCACCTGCTGGCATCTCCACTTCTAGCCACTCCTCATGTCTGTGAGTTCTCACTCCATACCACACTCACACTCCAGAAAATATAAGAAACACAGGAAAAGCACTTTTCACTTATAAAAGACTACTTTAAAATTTTCAGAATTAAAAATTAATATAATTTAAAATGTTATTATTCAATCATAAAGCAGTAAAATTAAAAACTTTCCCCCCAAAAATCCCCAAATATTGCCATATATTTAGGGACTTAAAAACACATTCTTTGATTTTAAGACTTCATGAAACACTTATAACCAAATGACATTAAATATTCAAATTTATAGGATAAATCTAAACTAGTATTTCAGGAAAGTTTACAGTCTTAATAAGACTGAGAATAAACACATGAAACACTTAACTGAGGTAGATATAAAAAAGTAAGAATAAAACTCCTCATAAAGTAGTGTAAAATGAGACAGTATAAGAATACAATTTCATACATTTTAAAAAGAGATGAACAAAAAAACAAAATCTTATTCCTTGAAAAGATAAGACTATTTATAAATCTCTAGCAAAATGGATAAAGATAAAAGTGGCAAAGCCACAGGTTAGCATAATTAGAAATGGAAAAGAAACATAATTATTGATAAATTATAACCTACATTAATACTCTGAACAATTTTATACCAATACATTTGAAAACATACAAAATGAAAATTTTTCTGAAAAATATTTAATCAACAAAATGATTCAAAATTAAAATCTGAATAGGTAAGCAAGTATTAACTCATTTTAATTGGCAGTCAATAATGTCAGATTAAATCCACAAAGCCCAAAATTCTCATTTCTTTTGGAATTTATTTTCACAAATTTTTTTTTGCAAATAGTTTTCAGGGAAAAAATAGAGAAAACACTCCAACTCCTCTTATTACATTGTTATAGCCTTACACCAAACCTATGCCAGGCTGTGACCCTGCAGAGCAATTAAAGACCCAACTCATTTACAAACATGAATGAAAATATAATAAGATAGTATCAAGTCTAATATAATAGTCAATAAAAATATATCATGAGTGAGTTTCTATTTCTATTAGTAAGGCAAAGATATTTCAAAATCATAGTCAATCAACACTAAAAGACAATGTGACAATTATTACTACAGATGCAAAATAATTTTATATGTAAACATTTATTATTACAAAAGATGGTAAATATTTGGGTGAGGTGATAAGTTTCCTTAACACAAAGACAACATTCTTCAGATCACACTTTGTAATGAATCCCAATAACTCTGGAAAAGAGCAAGATTTCCAACTGCTAGCACCAACATATAATACCACACTAGAAATCCTGGACCATGAAATATGATAGGAAAAAAAGGCAAGAAGCTTAAGTTATGACTTTCAGAACAAAAACAGTAGCGTTATTATCTATACATCAAGGGCCTGCAAAAATTAGGTCATGTGTTAAATCAGGCCCTATTATGGGCTAGTCCTAGCCGCTGCCACTTGTTTCCTTGGTGTCTATGGGTGCTTTTATTCTACAAGTCAGAGCTGAGTGGTTGCTCCAAAGACCACAGACCCTCACAGATGAAATGTATGCAGCCCTTTCCGAAAGAAGTCTTCACAGTCCTATTCTACACAAGAAATCAAATAAAATCCACAAACAAACAAGCAAATGAAATAAAAATAAGGTAGCACAATGTGTGGCCTCAAGAATAACCAATGCATTTTTAAATACCAGTGTAACCAGAGAGCTGCATTACGAAAGTGGCTACAATGGACAAAAACAGCTAATAAACAGATAAATTATAAAGCACAATGGAAAAGATGCTACATCTTTATAAAAAATGCATTTGAAGGCCGTGAAATAAACGCTGAATAGATGAAGTGCACCATTTGCTGTATGTGGAGATTCAACGCCAAGCAGCAACAATATGAGCATTAACAGCTATGCCTGGTACCTTCTGTGCTACAGGCTCTGCTTTCTTGTAAGACAGAAAGGCACACAGATGAAAAATAATATCCAGGGGAAATTTTAAGGGAAGCAAAGTAGGAAGGCCTTGCCTAGCCAAAGATCATAATATATTGAAAAAGTGCAGTGACTGCGACAGTGTGGAGTGAGCGTATGAATAGGTCAATAGACAAAGGAAACACAGGTAGCCTACAGAAGTTGAAATGCACACAGGGGCTAAGGGAGTATATGGGAATTCCATATGTGATAAACTCGGCATTGACTATAATAGGAAAAGGATAGACATTCTGAAATAGTGCTGGTATAATTAGCTATCTATCTTGCTGGGTTTTTTGAATTGTTACCTTTAGAATGAAAAAGGATGTGGTCTGTTCAGTATTTTTCTTTGTCAGATGGTACAACGTGAAGCTCTGTCAGTAGAAGACGTTCAACAGACCTTGCAAGAAGGAGTTGTGCCCTCTGGCCTCTGCTCACTGGGCATGCTCCCAGGGCTTAACTTCGCTAGCACCAGGCTCCTGAAGCCAAGGCAGTTTCCCAGTATGCAGCCTTTTGCACTGCTTAGAAACAAACAGCTATGAGCAAGGGCAATTAATAAGCAAATGTTGACTTCAGCATATTATGTGTTATTCTACAGCAGTTAAAATACATGAATGATCTAGTTCTATGCATAGCAACACGAATAAGTCTTACAGTGTTAAAAAAAACCATTGCAGAATTATATAGAGAATAACACTTTATAAATATACTTAATGGATATATGCATATATATAATAAACATATATAGAGAATGGAAGAATATACTCATATAACATTTTTTAAAGTTTTTCATTGATTTTTTTTTAAATTTTATGAAGTTGAAAGACTTAATACAGTGAGCTCCCTCGTATGCATCACTCAGTTTCCCCTAATTTTAACAGATTACAAAACTGGAGTATGTCACAATCAGAACACTTGCACAGGGGCTGGCGCCGTGGCTCACTAGGCTAATCCTCCACCTTGCGGCGCCGGCACACGGGGTTCTAGTCCCGGTCGGGGCGCCGGATTCTGTCCCGGTTGCCCCTCTTCCAGGCCAGCTCTCTGCTGTGGCCAGGGAGTACAGTGGAGGATGGCCCAGGTCCTTGGGCCCTGCACCCCATGGGAGACCAGGAGAAGCACCTGGCTTCTGCCATCGGATCAGCGTGGTGCACCGGCCGCGGTGGCCATTGGAGGGTGAACCAACGGCAAAGGAAGACCTTAAGACCTTTCTCTCTGTCTCTCTCTCTCACTGTCTACTCTGCCTGTCAAAAAAAAAAAAAAAAAAAAAAAAAAAAAAGAACACTTGCACGGAACAAATCCATAGGTCTTATTCAGCTTTCCCTTATTTCATGTGTTTGTGTGTGTGTGTGTGTTTGGTTCCAGCACATGTGTTGTTGGTTCACTTATCTACCACCAGAATAAAAACACTGTACAAGTTCATAACCAGGAGAGACCTGTGTTGCCCTCTTACAACCAAACCCATCTCTCCACCACCCCTGCCCCTTCATCTGCTGTGCTGGCAACCACTAGTCTGTCCTCCATTTTTAAAAATTTGTGTTTTCAACCTTTTGAGGATGGCTTTATTTTACCTGAAATAATCATCTGAATACTCATCAAAGTTTTTAAGTGAGAAGGCTTCAAAATGCTTATGGAAAATTGGAATTGAAAGACAAAACAAATTTTAGGAGTGGGTATCTGTCCTAGTTGTTGAAAGACCAGCGTCCCTGAGGCCAGTGCTGTCTCACAGTAGGTTAATCCTCCGCCTGTGGCGCCAGCATTCCATATGGGCACCAGTTCTAGTCCCAGCTGCTCCTCTTCCAATCCAGCTCTCTACTATGGCCTGGGAAAGCAGCAGAGGATGGTGCAAGTGCTTGGGCCCCTGTACCTATGTGGGAGACCAGGAGGAAGCACCTGGCTCCTGGTTTCGGATCAGCGCAGCTCCTTCCATTGCAGCCATTTGGGGAGTGAACCAATGAAAGGAAAACCTTTCTCTCTGTCTCTCCCTCTCACTGTCTGTAACTCTACTTCTCAAATACATAAATAAAAAATCTTTAAAAAAAAAACCGCATCTCACATCAAAGTGTGTAGTTTCAATTCCAGCTATAGTCTCCTGATTCCAGCTTTCTGCCAGTGTAGATCTGGCAGGTGACATTAATGGCTCAAGTAAGTGGATTTCTGCTACCCATGTAGGAGACATGAATTGTCTTCCTGGACCTCAACTTTAGCCCTGATCCTTGTGGGCATTTGGGGGGAGCGGTGAACCAGCAGATGAGAATCTCTAATAAATATAAAGAAATTTTAAAAGATAATCCACATTTTCCATTAGCCTTTTGGAGCTTCCTCATATATCAATACTTTGTTTCCCTCATCATAAAACAGTGATCCATTTTGTTAATCATTCACCTGTCAAAGCATATCAGAACTGTATTCAGTTTTGGACTATTATATTTTTAAAAAGAAACTGCTACCAACATACACATACAAGTGTTTGTATGAATGTAAGTTAACATTTCTCTTAGATAACTGTCCAAAAGTGCATTAATCAGTAATATGGTAATTGCATTTAGTTTTATAAAAAACTGCCAGATTCTTTTCCACTGATTGTACAATTTTCCATTCTGACCAGAAATGTATGATGATATACTTTCTCCAGGTCCTCACCAGCATTCACTGCTGTCACTATTTAATTGTAGCTGTTCTGAGAGGTGAACGGAAGTATTTCATTGTGAGTTTATTTGCATTTTCATAATGATCATAACCTTGTACATCATTTCATATGCTTATGGTCCTCATCCTTTTTAAAACAGCTCTTGTTTCAGCATCTCCTAATGTGATCATTTTACTGTGGATCTGAGAATGCTTATATATTCATACTTTTGACATCAGCCCTTTGTTGGGTATGTCTTGACCCACATTTTTAAAAGGTCTGTACCTTCTCTTTTTATCTTCCCAATAAGGCCTTTCACAAAGCAAATATTTTTAATTTTGAAGAGATTCTGTTGATCTTTTTTTTCTTATATATACACATACATATTTTCCCCTTTGGTTGTCAAGTTTAAGAATTTTTTGCCTGATCCTAGATTTTAAATATTTAGCCCTATTTTTTCTAAATATGTTACAGCTCTATGTCTTACAAATATGTCCACAATTCACCTTGAACTAGTTTTTGAACAGAATATAAGATTGCCAAGAAATGGGCAATCTGGGTACAGGTTTCCAGAATCATTTGGACTTTGAACCTCTAGAACTGTGAGTCAAGATAATTTTTTTTTCTTTAGAAAGTAGTCTGCAAGATTCCAAGATGACAGAATAGGGAAAGAGTTTACTGTTTTAGTTTAGGGGAAGATGGCTTAAAAAAAAAAAAAAAGTGGAGAGGCCGGCGCCATGATTCAATAGGCTAACCCTCTGCCTGCGGCGCTAGCACCCTGGGTTCTAGTCCCAGTCAAGGCGCCAGATTCTGTCCCAGTTGCCTCTCTTCCCGTCCAGCTCTCTGCTGCGGCCCAGGAGTGCAGTGGAGGATGGCCCAAGTGATTGGGCCCTGCACCTGTGTGGGAGACCAGGAGAAGCACCTGGCTCCTGGCTTTGGATCAGCGCGGTGCGACAGCCAAAGTGCGCCGGCTGCAGTGGCCATTGGGAGGTGAACCAATGGAAAAAAAGGAAGACCTTTCTCTCTGTCTCTCTCACTGTCCACTCTGCCTGTCAAAAAAAAAAAAAAAAAAGGATCTACCCCTAAAAAAAAAAAAAAAGTGGAGAGAGTGCAATCTCAGGGAACAGTAAACAATAGGAATATTTATGCAAAAATGGCAGGGCAAAGTCATTACTTATCAATAGTTACCTTTAATGTAAATGGCCTCAACTCTCTAATTAAAAGACACAGACTGGCTGAATAGATTAAAAAACAAAACCCATCTACTTGCTACCTACAAGAACTGGTGTAGCCACCATAATATCAGAAAAAAATAGATTTTAACATAAAATCTGTTAAAAGAGACAAAGAAGTCCACTATGTAATGATTAAGGGATCAATTCAACAGGAAGATATAAGTGTCTGAGTGTCAGGTTCCTGGATTAAAAAAAATTTAAACTTAGAGACAGACAGACAGATCTTCCATCTGCTGAATCACTCCCCAAATGCCTGTAATAGCCTGGGCTAGACCAGGCCAAGCAAAAAGTTTTCATATTTTCCTTTTCTCTTAAGAGAATTATTAAAGAAATCCTCCATATAAAATGTTGAGTTAGCAGTATTTCTCCCCCTGGTGTTTAAAGACAATACTATTCCATTGTCTTCTGATCTCCCTTGTTTCTGATGAAAAGTCAGTTGTCACACCAAGAATTTTTCTCTTGCTGATAATGTCATTTATTTATGGATGCTTTCAAATTCTTTATCATTGAATTTAAACAAGTTACCTTTGTGAGCATATGCTGAGTTGCTTGAAGATGTAAATTTATATCTTTCAACAAATGTGGAGACATTTTAGTCTTTAGTTTTTCAAACGTGTGTGTGTGTGTGTGCTTCCTACTCTCCTTCTAGGATCATGATTATATGAATATTAGATATTCTCATTGTTCCCCACACATCTCTGAAGATTTGCTCTTTCCTTCCCCCCAATCTTTTTCCCCTTTATTCTTCACAATGGACAGTTTCTGTTGGTTTGTTTAAAATTTCATTATTTCCCCTATTTTCTTCATTCTGAAACTAAGCTTATTCACTGGGCTTTGCAGATATTGTATTTTTCAGCTCTAAAACTTGTATTTTTTAATAGTTTCCTTTTGTATGCTGAAATTTTCTATCTTTTCACTGATTGAAAATACCTCTATTAAACTACTGATTACACAAAAGCAAAATCATAATAGCTACTCTAAAATCCTTGCATGCTAATTGAAAACTTTTGATTCTCAATTGTGGCAATATGAATTGTCTCTCCTTCAATATTGGTCATATATACCTGTCTCTAGGTACACTAAGTGTTCTTGTTATATCCTAGACATTATGAGTGATACATTATAGGGAATGTGATTTTGGTGTGACTTATTCAAAACATGTTAAGTATTTTGTTGTTTGAGAAGACAGTTTATGTAACTGCATTAGACAGCTTTTCATTTCTACAATAAAATGCCATTTGCTCACAGTTATGCAAGCTGAAAGTTCAAGCTGAATGATACAAGGTCTGGGAAAGGCCCCATGGTGGATGGCAAAACATGGGAAGAGAGGTCCAATCACATCTTGAGTCAGAAGCAGAGAAGGCAGATAGGGTCAAACCTCTCCTGCGAACTACCTTATGAGGACACACCCCCAGTGACCTTAGGATGTCCAGCTAGGCTCTGCCTCCCAACAGAACCACCCTGGGTACAATTTACCATATGTAAGAAACTCCGGAGGTCATTCAACATCTAAACTATTACCCGAAGCATAGCAGTACCTGAGCTGACACAACTGTGCAGCCCAAATCTCAGGCTGCTTCTTTTAGCCTCAACTGGAGCTGCTTAGAGGGAGCCCTAAATCTGGGTTTAGCCAAGGAGTAACAAAGCTCCAACACAGAATGCAGGGCTTTCTCTCTTCCTAGACTCTCAGCTCACTCCTCAAATGCTGAAGAGACTCTCAACTGTGTCCTCTGATTATTCAGAACGTCCACACAGTTGGACAATGGGTTTTATATTTCAATAGTCTGTCCTGAATAGGAACCACCCCTCAAGCTAGAAAAGCCATAAAATATGTGGACTCACTCAGTGCCTTTCTGTTCTAGATATCAATTCTGCTACAGCTTCTGCTGCTTTGTGAGCTCCCCACTTGCTATACAAATATTTAAAAATATTATGTTAAGAGTTTACTGTTGTGTTCTATAGTATAGTTTATACAATAAAATCTACCCACATCATACCCAATACCAATAGCAGAACTTCCATAGAACTTAATATAACATGAAACTATTTACAGGCTAACCCAACCTAAATTCCTACAGGATTTTTACAGTATTTATAACACTTTGCTTGTGTGTTTGTATGGGTGTGTTCAAAAGAAATATGAGATTGAGAAATGTTAATGGCTTTCCTAAACATAGTTAGAATTAGTTAGTAATCATTAGAATATGCATGGTATACTTTTTTTTTTTTTGACAGGCAGAGTGGACAGTGAGAGAGACAGAGAGAAAGGTCTTTCTTTGCCATTGGTTCACCCTCCAATGGCCACCGTGGCCAGCGCATCACACTGATCCGATAGCAGGAGCCAGGTACTTCTCCTGGTCTCCCATGGGGTACAGGGCCCAAGCACTTGGGCCATCCTCCACTGCACTCCCTGGCCACAGCAGAGAGCTGGCCTGGAAGAGGGGCACAGAATCCGGTGCCCCGACTGGGACTAGAACCTGGTGTGCTGGCGCCGCAAGGCGGAGGATTAGCCTACTGAGCCGCAGCACCGGCTGGTATACTTTTAAAAATGCTGAAAATCAAGGCAGGTGTTTAGACCAGCAGTTAAGATGCTCACACCCTTACTGGAGTAAGTGGTTTCAAGTCCTTGCTCCAGCTCCCAACTCCAGTTTCCTGCTAATGCAGACCCTAAGAAGTAGCAGGTGATGGCTCAAGTGTTTGAGTTCTTGCCACACACATGGTAGGCCTGGGCCGAATTCCTGATTCCTGGCATCAACCTGACCCAGCCCCAGTCATTGCAAGCACTTATGGCATGATATGGAATGAACCAACAGATGGAATGTCTCCTCTCCCTCTGTCTGTTCTTCTCTTCTTCAAAAATAAAAAAATGGAAAACCAGTAATTCAGAAACGTGTCTATGCCAAAGGGTTACAGAAAAGTGAACGAGTTTGATATATTTCATAGGATACATTTGGGATAAGAGAAATAATACACATAAAAAGAAATAGGCTAGTGTGTAATTGACAATACATACAAAATAAACCATAATAGCTCTAACTCATTTAAAAATGATCAGAAAGGCAATGATGAACAGTTGGACCCAGGCAGATGGAGGCATATTTATAGTTCTTTCTATCAAAATAAAATGCTTATTTCTTTGGAAAACTGTCCAATCACTATATATTTGATAACTGTCAAGTCTTAGATTCTCAAATTTCTATCACTCACCTGTTCAGTGACTATGTTGGTTATTTCTAAATTTCCCAACAAAACACTGTAGAGATAAACAATGGATATGTTGGATGTTATAAAATTCAATACATACAGAACAAATCAGGATGAAAAGGAGAATGAAAAAAAAGTAATAACTATATCTAACTTATTATAATATTCATAAACATTTAAATTTACTGAATATTTTAATTGCTAAAGTCTGAAACAAATATGCTTGTATTATTGGCCACAACTCTTTGAAGAAGATACAATTATTATTTTAAACTTATATACGAAGAAACTGAGCTTTGGGGAAGTTAGTGACTTCCATAGATACAGTGGGGATCTAAACTCAAGCAACCTAATTCTATAACCTGCTCTCTTAATCTTCATGCCAGGAAGTAGGTATTATTCTCTAATTATTAGACATATTTTTTTTACATTTTATTTATTATTTGAGAGGGAGAAAGTGAGAGTAACAGAGAGAGAGAGAAAAGGAGAGAAAACTCCTAACTGCTAGTTCACTTTCCAAACACATGCAATGTCTAGAGGCTAGGCTAAGTCCAAAGCCAGGAGCCAGAAATGCAATGCAGGTCGCCCACATGAGTGACAGAGACCCAACAGCCCAAGCCATCACTCTTGCCTCCTAGATTCTGTAGGAGTAGGAAACTGGAACTGGCAGAAGAGCAAGGCTCAAACCCAAGCACTTCACTATGGGATGTGGACATCACAACCAGCGTCTTAAACATAGGTCAAATCTTCCCCCTCTAAACATAATATTACACTCACCCATCACAAGATGTGGAAACAGAAGCTTGGAGCAATTAAGGTACTCGACCGAGTTAACAGGCCTAGGAAATGGTGATGCTGGGGAGCAATGAGAATGCTGCTGAAGTCCATAGCAATCATGGTCTAAAACTCGCGTGATACCAGAAGTGGAGGTATACAAAGTTTGATTATGAAGTATTCGGGAGACACTGTGATTTCAGATGGAACAAACCTTCAGAAATGTCAATGGACTATACATTTTAAATTTAAATTCAATTTATTAAAGTCCAGAATTTCACTATTTTGGCATTACTGAAATACAGATGGCAAACAACATAGTTACTAAAACTGTCGCTAATATGTTAAATTTCTATCACTCTAAATAAGCATGATCTGAATTGATCTAGTTCTAGTAATTTTCTACAGAAAACAGATTGGGGGTCCAGCATTGTGGAATAACAGGTAAAGCTGCCATTTCCAATCCACTTCACTGCAAATGGCTTGAGAAGAGCAGCAGCAGATGATCCATGTGTTTGAGCCCCTTCCACCCATGTGGGAGACCCGGATGAAGATCCGGGATCCTGGCTTCAACTTGGCCCAGTGCTGGCCATGTGCGGTGTGAACCAGCAGATGGAAGTGTTTCTCCCTCTCCCTCCCCCTCTCCTCCTCCCTCTCCTCCTCCCTCTCCCTCTCCCTCTCCCTCTCCCACTCCCCCTCCCCATCCACCTCCCCCTCTCCCTCTCCCTCTTCTCCCTCTCCCTCTCTCCCCATAACTCTTTCAAAATAAATAAATCTTTTTAAAAAAGAAAGAAAGAAAACAGATTTGGAGAATAGTGGTGGGCAAGGAGGCAAGACATGTTACTGGGTTTCAGTATACAAAGCTACTTCCTTAAACTGATTCACTATATTTTCATATTCTAGATAAAAGAGTAATTATTACAATGATAGTTTATAGTCGATATTGGCACTTATTTTCTGTAAAAAGTAACCCATGTTTACTGCATATTCAAGAAGAGTTAATACACTGACATCCACCAACACCAATTCTTGATCATCAAATATATTTTTAAATTAACTTTAAAAGATACCCTGAAAAATGCTATAAAACCTCCATCGTCAGGAGCCTTACTTGGACCTTAGCAATGGCCATCAAGACACATGGAGGGGCCGGCGCCGCAGCTCAATAGGCTAATCCTCCACCTGCGGCACCAGCACACTGGGTTCTAGTCCCGGTCAGGGCACCCGATTCTGTCCTGGTTGCTCCTCTTCCAGGCCAGCTCTCTGCTGTGTCCTGGGAGTGCAGTGGAGGATGGGCCAAGTGCTTGGGCCCCGCACCCCATGGGAGACCAGGAGAGACACCTGGCTCCTGGCTTCGGATCAGCGTGTTGCGCAGGCCACAGCAAGCCGGCCACAGCGGCCATTAGGAGGCGAACCAACGGAAAAGGAAGACCTGTCTCTCTGTCTCTCTCTCTCTGTCCACTCTGCCTGTCCAAAAAAAAAGACACATGGAGGTTCAGAAACTGAGTTCATGCATGAGAAACAGAATCTTACCTCCAGAGTTAATAGTTAACCCAGATTTCTGTACATAAAGCGTATTTTCATTGTCCAATGCACTCATCTAAATAGCCAGGTCACAGTCACTAAAACTTTTGGACCAGGAATCAGAGGCAAGTAGATGGAGTTTTATGCTGAAATGATGGTCTGCATTATAATATGATCTCTTGCAGAAGCAGGAAATACTAGGGCAATTTTGAAGCCTCTAGAGAATAGCATGTATCAAAGTTCAACCAAGTTAAGGATTTGGGCTCCCATTCAAACAGGTTGAATTTCAAAGCCAAACCTCTCTGTCACACTTTTCAAATGTGTTTTCTTAATGCTTTACAATAAAACTAACTGATTTCACATTTTTGGTAATGTGAAACAATTTGGGTTCCATTGAGCATACAGAAAATACATATTTAAAGTACAGTTTTGCTCAACTATTTAGTTTTACTTTGACCGAAACTATTGATCTTCTAATGATCAGTAATTCTTATTTTGGAATAATATCAATCATCCTGTGCTCCCTTGACAAACATTTATTGAGGGGTTGGTGGTGCAGCAATAAATAAAATAAAGCAAAATCTTAATCCTCAAGAAAGTTACTTTCTGTTGTTCAGACAACACCACCAAAGACAAGTGAGATAAATAATATGTTAGAAAATAATATTTGCTGTGGAGGCAAAATCAAGGCAGATAAGGAAATAAGAACTATTAAGTTAATAGTTTAGATGATATGATGGCTAATTTTAGATGTCAGCTAGATGGGATAAAGGAACACCTAGAGAACTGGTAATGCATCATTTTGGGTGTGTTGTGAGGGCATTTCCAAAGGAGACTGGCAGGTGAGTGTGAGTGAAGAGGGGAGATCTGCCTGCCATGTGGGCGGCCCCATCCAATCCCCCATCACAGCAGACAGAACATCAGAGGGAAGTTGAATTGCGCTCTCCCAGCAGGCAGAAGACTGCTCTCTCTCTCTCTCTCTCTCGCTCTCTCTAACTCTGCTTACCAAATGAATAAAATCTTTTTTCAGAAAAGAAATTAACTTTGGCAGAATTATTTCACCTGTAGAACATACACAAAGTGCACACACACAAATGCACTGACACCAAATTTGTTTAATTTTATATCTTATATGGGAGTAAGTATACTTTCTAGCATTTTGTCAGTTCTAACAACATAGGAATTATAGTTTTATTTTTAATGAATTGTTAGAATTAAAAAAATTAATGATTAGACTATAATTTGAATTCTATTTGCATTTTAATATTACCATTAGAAGTTTATCTTTAAACTAATAAAGATTATAGCTTTCATATTCAAAAGATGCATGTTAATTATTTCAGATTTTTAAAGAAGCTGATTGTGTTTGCACTTTTTGCCACTGTAAGTTTAATATTTTCAATTAACCATTTTAATTGGCTGCTCATAAGGTACCTTTTCAAAAGACACACTGATACGTGAGACTTCGAAACACCATCTTCAAATTCAATTAGTTTAAAATACATTTGAATAAATTATAGTTTTCAGGATAGCTCTTTTAGAGGCTGAATAAGATAAACAATTAAAATACTGTTTATATAATGTGGGAAAGCAAATGTATTTGTCTTTTATTATGAAATATGTCATATGCTCTAAAGAAAATAAATATTGCAGAGGTATAAGGTATAAAAATAATTTTGAGAACACGCCTAAACCTTCTATATGGTTGACAGAATTTCAGAAATACAGTTGAAGCTCTCAGGTATAGCCCCCATCCCCGGCACCCATTTCCTCTCCATACCAAGTCCCTCCCACACCTCCTCTGTTTCCCAAGGTAACTGTCTTCTAAAACTTATATGCTTCATTTTCTTGTCATTGCCACAGTGCATCGATTCCTAAGCAAAACACTATGCACTATCTGCATTCATATTTCATATAAGTTATATAATATAATATTATATTATATTATATGGTTTTACTACAATTTGGGTTTGTTTAAAATTTATCCATAATGAGATATGCACACATATATCCAACTCATTTTCATTCCTACAGAGGATTCTATTGTACAAATACACCACAATCAATTTATTCTTCCATCAATGGACTTCAGCTTACTTTTAATATTCTGCCATCACAGATTTTTCTGCTATGAACATGCTTGAACATACCTCAGTGAATTGGGTATGACTTTAGGAATGGGTTATAGAGTATATGCATTTTAAGTTTTAAGCAATATGAAAAATTCTGTTACAAAACCTTTGCATGAATTTATACTTCTGCTAGAAATATGTACAGTTATGGTATGCCATGGTTTTGCAATAATATTTTGTCAGGATTATTAATTTCACTTTTATTTGTATCACTTTCTGTTTTACATTTTACTCAATTGTGTCTAGAAAGTTTTTCTTTATTCATTTCATTTTGTTTTGTTTTAATAACAGTAAATTTTTGTTAAGGCAAAATGCTTTTCAGAATGGGTCACCTAGTAAATTTAGTTGTGTGTTGTGAGACATATATCAAAACAAAACCATTGGAAAGTTTGCAAATCAAACATACACCAGAGAAAGGCAAGCAGAGGTTTACATATTCACATCACAAAATGAGAAAGAAGAGCATCCTCTTAGGGAAGGGGTATACATCAGTGAAGACAGCCTGCAGAAGACTTTTTGAAACATACTTTGATACTGAATCTTTATAAGGTAAGGTGTATGCTTCAAAATTATTTTCTTACTGTTTAAAGTCTGTAAGAATAGACTTTTTTATTTAATT